CTCCACAGTCATCATGTCAACATTATTATGAAGACTTTTCACAAGCTCTTTTGCAGAAAAACGACGGAGATAATACATAATATTATACAGTATTAATGTGGTGTATTCTCCAACACTCTTTAACATTTTCAATATTTGCCGTATTCAAATGTTTCGCTCTTGTTTATCTTTCTTTTCGATTATAGCAATTTCGGTCGGACCAAACATTGTTATTGTCAAGAATGTCGCGAATATTTGACGTGAGTGACACACGAACTATGCATATCGAGAGTGCGTTTCCATCTTCTGATCGTAATCAAATCAGAGGTAACGAGCTATACCACTATCAAAGAGAGAGTTATAACAGGTCCTTTGCAACTATGCAATCTTAATCTTAATCGTACCAAATGTTATTTCAATAACAATAACAATAAATATGTCTTAAGAAGGTACAGCTTTTTTTTACAGGCGGAAAACGTTGAAATTGAATTTCTAACGAAAAGTGAAATAAATTATCTTGAAAATTATCTCCCAAAGTGGTTTTACGTTTTAAATTGTTTTTAATTATCCTAATTTTACCGAATTCAATTTAATATAATGCGGAACGATATCAGCTATCAAAAATGAGATTATTTCTCGTTTTTCCTTTTGTCGCTTGAAGTTTTTACTTCAGCACGTCAGACAGGTATCGTTGCATGTTTTTAATCATAAAGTGTCGTCGTTGCCCACAGAAGAGTACGCTATTTACGTCAAGCCACTGCATCTCATGAAAAGAGACAAGACGCATCGCTTGTTCCCAACCACTACACTTGGGAATTTTTGTACCGGAATTAATTCATCCCTTACTGCTTTACTTTTAGTTTAATTGTTTAAAAAATGTATCAATCTCACTAACGGTAGTGTTTATGAGTTGGTATCGTATAAATAGTTAATAAAGAACTTTCGGTAAATTAATGCTGTTATATGTACGAGTTCAGCGCCAAAATTTACCGGCCTGAATATGAAAGAAACAAAGTAGAGTAACAAAAACAGTATCTTTGAACTCAACTTCGTCGTTAAACCGTCATCCACGTAAGTCCTTTTTCAAATATCCAAACAAATAATAGTCGTTGGGTCTTGGGTCGCTGGGTCGCTTGACTATAGGGAGGATGATCTATCTGTTGGAACCCACACTCTAAAATGGCAGCTTGTGCAACACCAGCAGTATGGACAGGTGCATTATCGTGCAAAAGACGCACGCCTCTGGTCAGTTTTCCTCGACGTTTTACACGTATTAAGTCTCGCAATTTATGTTATAATGTTGCGTAATATTTACCATTGACAGTGGTATTAGTTTATTTAAAATCTATCAAAAGAATTCCTTCATAATCCCAAAAGATCGTGGCCATCACATTTTTTGTTGACTGGCAGACTCTGAATTTTCTTGGAGGTGCTTCGCCCTTATGACGCCACTCCATTGAGTCTTTTTTCGATAGAGGGTGATAATAGAGAACCATAGTTTAATCTTGCGTCACAATAGTTTCTATCACAGGTTTCGGTTCCGACCCACAGAGTTCCAAAAAACACCGCGCACACTCGACACGGCGTTGTTTTTGAATAGCCGAAAGGTTTTCAGGAACCCATCTTGCACTAACCTTATGCATACCTAAATGATCATGCAGGATTCGACGAACACTTGTATCAGAAAGCTTAGTAATTTCTGAGATTTCCTTGAATTTTAAATGTCAATATCTAAACATTCTCATATATATATTATAAACATTTGCAATAGTATATTATTTCATTAAATACGTCAATAGTCAATATGGTTGCTATTGTTCTTTTGTGCAAGTCCGATGCCTTATATGCACATTCCAAATTTTGTCCATTAAGTTTATATGTGGCATACAGGGAGGCATATTAAAATTAAATATGAAAACAATTTTTGGTTCCAAATTAAAGTGCTACGTAGAATCCTTTCGCCAATAATTCTGAATATGTCCAACTTTAACCTTTTTTATTGAAAATTTCATCTACTTCTACTCTTATTAAGATCTGAACTCCAAGGAATCTAAGCGAATACTTACGCACAATTTTTCAGGATTTCTAATAATGTTAATTTGCGAATTTTCGGAGAAATCTTCAACTGTGGGATTCGCCGGAGCTTTAAAATAATTCCCAGAAGTTTGACATGACCACTATAGTCACTTTCTTTGACGAATTAATAGGTCCTTGTAGTTTCTAAGATATGACCGTTGGCTACTTTTAATGAATCGACCTGTGTTGCATATTTCTTCATTATTTAGTTATCAAATATTAGTCACTTGTTCAAATAGTTCAAAAAACCTATCTATCAAGTTTTATTTCCTATAACAAGACTAACTATCGCATTAAAACGAAATTAGTTGAATTTCGTTTGATATTCAATTAGTAGAAATACCGAACTCGTAGAATAAATTTTAAAAAAAGATGTAACGAATTAATCGCTTTTAAATTTAGGCATCAAGGCGAATCGATAACAAAATTTCCGCTTCCGTATATGCCAGCAAACATGTAAATCAAAATACGTTAAATTATTCTCAAATTGATTGTGCATGACTGCCATTACGTGCCTTCGGAGCCTCAAAAGCCATTATAATAATTGTGACTAATGCAAAAGCCATATTTCGCTCAAATGCACACGGCTTGAATGCGGTAATATACTTTTCACCTGTGTGTCAGTACTACTATCGTTTAATTGGCTTCGGTATATTTGAACAATGAAATTGATCATCGACTGGTTATGGTAACGTTATAACGGTAACATGATTTTTTCTCCGTTGAAAAATGATAAGTACGTTTGAGTTTTAACTCAACAAAAATGATAAATAATCGTAAATAAAAGAAATAACTTTTCATTATGTTTGATACCGCCTGGAAGTAATCTCAACCACGAGTTCGCATTTATTTTCTTGGTCGTCAAATACAAATTCTGCCTAATTAAAGACAAGTTCCACAAAGTCGGAGCGTTTGTGTCCGCTCTGCGTCGAACTTATTAAAACTTGTAATATGACGGGTAAAGCCAAGTTATTATTGGTCTTTGTAGTTAGATTCCTGTTATGTAATACCATTACAAGAAAGTCAAAGACATGTAAATTAGTTCGCAGTTCGGCACAACTGTTACCACGCCCCGTATGCCAAATAAACTTGCCTTTGATGCCGAGCTGCAGGGTATCAAAAATATCCGGCTTTGTGCTTCGAAAAGTTCGGCGTAAATGTATTCAAATTAGTTTTTAAACAGATCCTGCCACCGCTGATCGATAAACGTATCGCTTTTTGGCATTTACCTCCCAGTATTTTTAATAGAAAATTTGTTTTTATTCATTGATTTATTATTTTTTAAATATAATTCCTAACACAAGAACGGAACGTTCGTTTATAAATGTTGACTTGCGCTGAGGAAAATGTAAGTTTGAATAACCATTTACTGGAGAGCACATTTTATTGTGGCTCTCCCATTTTATCTCGGAAACTTCTTTAAAAAAATAATTCAAGAGTTTTTACGTATAAATTATTTATTTATTTAAATTATTATATTTTCATACAGGGTCTTTACTGTGTCGTCTGCTTACATTAACATTTTTATTCTTAATGGGACTTCCTATAATAATAATATTTAATAGTTCTGTGCCCCTACCTCATCGATTTATTGGCGTTATTCTTCATTTTTTGACTAATCTCTAAATGCACATAAATTTGCTTTTTTCAAACATGATTGCGATAAATTAAATACAAAAACTTGTTTGAAATATACATATCCAGACAATTTTTTAAAATTTAAATATGTTACAATCTTGCGACATTTTTCATATTAAAATTTATTGATTTTTTAAATATTTTTTTAACACATATTTTTATATTTTTAAACAAAATTAAAAGAAGACTTATGGACGATTATCTGCTGAACAAATTTTGTTTCATGTCAACCAGGTTTATAACGGCTTTTACACAGGAAGATTCCTTGTGCTAAGGATATTATAGATGATTATTTTTAAATATACAGGATGTGTACATAGCCGTGGTCAATATCAGCTTTCTTATTTTAAATGAAATACCCTGCACGTTGTTGTATTTTTGGATTCTAAATAAAATTCTAAACTTTTATTTAAGGTAGGCCATGTCTAAAACGAACAGTTTCTGAGATATTCTGATATTTTCTTAAAAAATGTCAGACGTAGTAATTTGTTTAAAATTAATGTGATAATGTTAATATTTTTCTACTCAGAATCGAGTTTTAAACTTGTTAAAATGAAAAATTACACTTGGAAAAAAAATCATTAATCAAACTTGTCAATAAGTATAGCTTTAAGAAATGTGCAAGGACGGCTATAGACAACTTCGTGGTCAAGGTTTTTCCTATATATAAAGTACTGCGCCTGACATTTTTTACTGAAAATATCAAATATTTCAGAAACGGTTCGTTTTGGATATGAGGTACCTTTTAAATAAATAAAAGTTTTAATTAATTAATAAATAATTATATAAAAATAAATATGAAATAAAATTTAATTAATTTTAATTAGAATCCAAAAATACAATAACATAAGTACAGGGTGTTTTAATTAAAATAACAAAGTTAATGTTGCCCACGACTAGATGACACAGCCTGTATATTTGAAAATATTTTCAAAAGATATATCAGCTACTAGCTACTAGCTATGTCATAAATTAGACCTCATAGGCCATCTACGTGAATCACCCTATTTCCGGATAATTAATCTAAAATAACTTAATTACAATATCTTTTTCAAACAATCCTGTTCCCAATTTTCTAGTTTAAGTTAAAATGTAAACTGTTTACCAATGGGAGATTAAAACGTTTAAACATATGAGACAACTTACATTATCTGAAGAATGTTAAATATTTTGCCCGAGGTATATAGGTATACTGTCGGAGAAAAAGTTGATATGCATTTAGTTAGTAGTTAATAAAAGCTTTGCATTATGTTACACGGAAATAGATGTAGAAAAAAACTATTTTTTGTTTTAATTTAAACTAAGAAACATAGTGTCAGCAGACAACAAAATAATGATCCTGTATATATAAAAATTATGTATTAAAAAAAATAAAAAAAATCTCTTAAAGAGTGAATACAAATTTGATTTATAAACCACGAAAAAATTTTTTTCTTTCACCTCCTACTTTAAAATACCCAATTATGCATGAAATCCATAGATTGCCATTTATTGCACTGGTTGGTTAGTTTATTGAAAACAAGGTTTTTTTCTCTCTATTATAACTTGTAAGATTTGCTGCAGTATTGGTAGGTTTTCCATTCAAGTAGAGATAATAAAAAAAGTACTGAACCAGAAGAGATAAAGCCATGGGTATTCAATAAATTTTATTACTAATACGAAACAAAACATTCGTATTTTTGTGACTAGAAAATTGTCTTCTATTTCTCTCCTGACATAACTGAACTATACGAATATGCTAATCTAATTCGCTAAAAAATATAAACAGATAATGCATCATGAAAATAATTTGTGACTTGGGCTACTCACAGACATAGCGGCATCCACTGTGATGGGACCGAGCGGTCCAATATTGATACTCAACGGTTTCTGGCATCCTATTATCATAAAGTGTATAATTGCTTTTGTATTATGTTTTTGTTCGTACCATTTACTTTCATACAATGCCATTGCTAACTTGGAACTCTACGTCACACGAATTTGGAGTTATTGTTAAATAAATTTTGTCCAACATTACCTGCTCCCTAATTTCATTGGCATTCCAAGCAAGGAGCATCAAAAAGCTGATCATCGAAATGGAGAATTCAATATTGAGAAGCAAATCCTGTCCCTAAAAATATGTTTGCACTGGTTATTGAAAAACCAAACAAGTATAATTATGTAGAGAAATACAAATACCGCTATAACTTGCAATATTCCTGCCGCAAACATTACTGATGACATACTGAATTCGACGAAAATTATATTTCTCAGCGCCTCATTGACTGAATTTATTAATCTAAAATAGTTAGGAAAATAGCAAATAGAAAATAATCACTATATTAATATGCCAAGTTCCATGGATATTACCTAACTATTATTACCCGATTTATCAAATAAAATTATCTATCTCACTTGTGACCAAATTTCCTTCAGCTGAAAGTGTTACGTCTAATCTGTTTGTATTGTGCTGTGTCGTGCTTAAAAGAACTTATTATAGGGCTGAATATATTTTAGGTTAATAGTAATTAATAGTAATGTATGTAATGTAATGTAATAACAGAATCTTATGGCATTGGAGTTTTCGAAGAGATGTTGACGGAAGGAGATAATATGTTAGATATAGTCAAGCCAAAGTTAATATTGATGTTTTGAGCAAGAAAAAATCTCATTTAAATGTTAGATAATTTACAGGTTAATATCACTCTGTCTATTTTCTAATCAGATGTAAGTTTTGTAAAATAAAAATAAGCATTTTTATGAACGAGCTGGAAAATATTTCCCTGTTTTCAAAGATCGCTGCTATCGCTAAACAAGCCATAGAAGTGTTTGTTCTAGCGCCTCCGATAATTCTTTGTCATTAAGAATCAAGCTTTGATAAATGAAAATAATACAGATTTATAAAACATTTTTTGAAAAATGAAAAAATTAACGATAGATGTCATGTGTAAAATATGTTTTTCGTATTTAACCAATTTGAGATATAAAAATGAACATCAAATTAGTCACATTAATTTAAAAAGAATTGAATTTTAAGTGCTAAATAAAATTTTGTTGAATTTTTTGAGGTTAGCCAGAAGTAGGAATACTCACTCAATTAGATTTTGATGTTTTACGCATAGCATTCGTACAGTTTCTACTCCATTGGTTATAATGTCGCGATTATTGAAGTTCCTATCAAAATTGCGAAATTGGTGCTGCATTATTTGAAGTTTTGCTCTTAGGAAAATAAGTAATGTGGTAGTAAATATTTGCGCGACAGCTACATAAAAGGCAGTCACAGCTATGTCAAGAAATTGACTCATGATCGTCAAAATATGGTACCTATTCTTGTCCCACGGATACCATAATTTAAGGGGCAGTGGTTTTTCGAGTGACACATTTACGCGTTTTTCCATTTTGTAAACTTTGTAACTATTTGTGCATCCTAAAATAATTACCGATTAAATTGTTTCAAGTGATGGATCTTTAAGGTATTTTTTAAATGTAGGTGCCACAAACAAATTCAATTTTTTAAAATTATAAGTTTTTATGGTTTTCCTTAGTTTAAACAATAAGTCTTGACAATGAATATTGATGGTTGCAAAGTTGCAATGTGGAAATATACATTAAGTATTATATTTTGCCTATTTGTGCTAATAAAATTGCTTACCCATTTCTACTAGAACCGATGCCGCCAAACCTGCAGCTAGTAAAAAAAATTTCGAAAGTTTTTTACTATATTTTGTATGTTTCGTGTATATTTCTTTCGTTTTCTGGTCATTCCATGCTAGAAGCATTGCTTCTTCTTCTATGATAATCTTTTGTAGTCGCACAAAATATTTGAACTGGCACATAATTCCTTTTATGCTTGCCATGGTGCTAAATAAAATCATTGAAATTGCCTGAAATGCTAGGATAAAGGTACACATTTTGGTATCATTCCAAATTGCGGGGCAATAATTCGACTAATATATTTTTACCTCCAGAAAGGTCACTCTTGAAAAGAACGGGTAAATTAGCAGCCAGAAGGGTCGGAATCATCATGTTAATTATTTGAACTATTGCAGAATATATAGAATACAATATAGTTTGAAAATTAGACAAGCTTTTTATTTCCAGCCTCCAAATACCACAAATTATCATTGTTTTTTTTGTGAACTGAAACATACTGGTTCATATATTTTTGCACAATAGAGTCAACACTCTATGTTGTCGGTATCTTATAGGTCGAATAATGACATGCAAATGGGCGACCGCAAAATATTGTATGAATATCCGCTAGTCAGTGGCGTTAACAGTTTGGTCAATTCCCTATCCGTTTAATTTTCTTTCTGGAGTAATCTCTTCTTCTAAACGGACTAAAACAAACTAACCAAAACTAACAAAACGATGAATTCTTGACTGTTTCCCATGCAGCGCTTTTTACCATGTATTAAAATGACTGAATCGAATATTAAATGCTACAATTCGATTTAGCAAATTGTAGGGATGGTATTTTTTTCATTTTAAGATACTCCACATTCACATAGAATTATGGGCTTGTAAAAAGAGAAGTCATGTAATCGGTATCTGAAGGAACCTATGTTAGCAAAAACAAATCCTCCTGGCAGCGCGCACGCCACTGGTTCCCTTGATGTTACTCTAATTTATAAGTCTGCATATCGAGCATATATTTATCTACATGAAAAGAAACTATTGCGGCTTATATATGTATTTTATCGGTTTTATGTTCCTCAGTCAAATAAATTATTTTAATGTCTTTACTTATTTGTCCGGCTGTACAAGATAAAGGAGAGTTTTAGATGGAAATCAACGATTTCGGAATCGCGTAAGTTTAAAGACTTTTGTTTTAGTTAAGAGAAACTTTAATTAATTTTTCAAAGAAACTTCCACAGGCTACTGTAATACTCTTTACAAAACTTCTAGATTCCTTCTGCGTCGATTTTTGCTGAGTCGAAATTGCTGACGTTTCGCCAATCATCCTGTTGGCTTCTTCAGAGCTTGACTGAAACTGGCTCGTATTTTACTCTGTACCTGCTTCTTTATTGTTTGTGGGGGGCGCTAATGAGGGGTATAAACACCGCCTCGGATGACTGATTCCCAAATTGGTGAGAGGTAAAGACCTGAGTCGCGGTTGAGATTGTTAGGTTGTTTATAGATTTCTATAGATTCTCGGATTTTTCGTTGGTAGAACAACTGATTGCATGCAAGAATTTTAGTTTTTTCGAATAAAATTTTATGTTCGGTTTCATGAGTGTGTTCGGCAACAGCTGATGAGTAAGGCTCTTTCGTCTTCTTTGAGCCTAGTTGATATTTTTCTTCCGGTCTCTCAATGTATTCTTTGCCGCATATGCATCTCAAATGGAATTTTGACTTTGACGGACCGAAGATGAGAGATTTTTGGACAAGTGGTAAATCTGGTTTTGACGTTATACTTCTTTAGAACTTTTGATATGTGGTCGGTGATGTTTTGAATGTAAGGAAGGACCACAGTGGCAAGTGTAGAATTTCTTTCGACCTCATTGGTATTGGAAGGTTGTGGTGAAGTGTATTTTTTGATGGAACGCTTAATATCTTTAATGTGGAAATTATTAGAGAGAACAGAAGAGAAATGCTCCGTCGATGATACTTTTGTTATTTCGCCTCATAGTCAAGAAACCCTAGTAGATTTTCGTAGACATTTAAACTCGATACACCCTAACGTACGTTTTATCATTGAGTTGGAAGCTAATAATAACTTGCCATTCTTAGATATTCTTATCAATAGAAAATCAGACCTAACATTGGGTCATTGTGTTTACAGAAAATCTACGTACACAGACCGATACCTTAATGCATGGTCACATCACCATATGGCCCAAAAATCATCGGTTATCAACTCTCTTGTTTTAGTGCCGTAAAACTATCTCAGCCCGATTCACTGAAAACAGAATTAAAACACTTTACCTCTGCTTTTCCCAGGGGTACCATAATTTGAGCGGCAGAGGTTTCTCCAGTGATACGTTTACTCCCTTTTCCAGTTTGTGAAGTTTGTAACTATTTGTGCATCCTTTTTTTTGTGCATCCTATATTTGTTATGTATAAAAACAATACAAAATATCTCGATAATGAAGAAGTATTGTTCGATAAAAAGATGAAATGTGCAATGATATTTTAAGTAATTTATATTCTACCTAATTATACTAATTAATTTGCTTACCCATTTCAATTAGAAACGATGCCCCCAAGCCTCCCGCTATTAAAAAAAAAATTGAAAGTTGTGTATTTCGCATGTGTTGTGTATATTTCATTCGCTTTCTGGTCATTTCCTGATAAAATCATTGCTTCGTCTTCCATGAAAATCCTTTGTAGTCTCAAGAAATATGTGGACTGGCACATAATTCCTTTCATGTTTGCCATGGTGCCAAATAAAATCATCGAGATCGCCTGAAATAAAGGTTAACGCGTATGTTATTTTAAATTTTGGAGCTATAATTAACGTAACATGTTTTTACCTCCAAAAATATCAGTTTTAAAAAGACTGGGTAAATTAGCAGCCAGTAGGGTCGAAATCATCAAGTTAATTATTTGAACTATAACAGAATATATAGAATACAATATAGTTTGAAAAGTAGACAAACTTTTTTTTTCCAACCTTCAAATACCACAAACTATCATTGTTTTTTTTGTCAACTGAAACATATTCGTTTGTATATTGTAGTCGGTATCTTATAGGTGGTGCAAATGTGCGACCGCAAAATATTGTATGAATATCCGCTACTCAGTGGCGTTAACAGCTTGGTCAATTCCCTATCCGTTTAATTTTCTTTCTGGAGTAATCTCTTCTTTTAAACGGACTAAAACAAACTAACCAAAACTAACAAAACGATGAATTCTTGACTGTTTCCCATGCAGCGCTTTTTACCATGTATTAAAATGACTAAATCGAATACTAAATGCTACAATACGGTTTAGCAAATTGTGGGAATGGTGTTTTTTCATTTTACGAAACCCCACATTCACATAGAATAAGGAGCTTCTAAAGAGAGGAGCCATGTAATCGGTATGTACCGCCACTGGTTTCTTTGATGTTTTATTTATATTATTTATAAGTCTGCATATCGAGCATGTACTTATCCACATGAAAAGAAACTATTGTGAGTCATATATGTATTTTATCGGTTTTTTGAAATAAATTATTTAACATATGTCTTTAGAGCTTTAGATGGAAATCAACGGTTTCGGAATCGCGTAAGTTTAGAAACTTTTGTTTTAGTGCGGTTTAATTAATGAATTAAAGAAGAACAAAGAAAATTCGTATATTGGTTTTGTTTCCTTCCTCGTTTTTTGCCAATTATAAGGTTATTAAATTTTATTTGTAACCTTTTTTGTTATTAAAAGAGTGGAGCATTATTTGTTTGAAAATATTGATATTTGATATGAATAACATAGGAAATAAAGAAGCAATTTAAGCAAAAGTAATTTGATTAAATGATCGCCGATTTTCATTGAACTAATTTTTTCTCCAAAATATTACAAAATAAGGTGTTCCTAATTAAAATTCAAAAGCGCACTATTTAATAGTTTTTATAAAGTTTAATTGGAGTAATTATTGGGTTTTTGTAATGCAAGAATATGAACTATGAATGAGACACTCTGGAAAATGTTTATGTAATAGGATTCAAAAATATTTTAAAAAGGTAACTTATAACCCGAAAATGATTAAAAAAGCACGGGGTCTAATTTTTCTCTATTTCTGTCTTCTCGCCAAAAATAAATGTCGAATAAATCGAATTGCCATTTTGGGATATAAAACGTAAAGCAAATTTATAGTTAACTTGAACAAACAATATTCCGCTTGCCATGGTAATAATTCTCAGAATCGTTTGTTTTTTAACAATTTTAATTTTAATTCTAATAGCTACCTAATAAAAACGTTTGTATCATCTATCTTTGCGCAAAAAGTTGAGTTTCGTTTTAAAAATATTTTCAATGCATACTGATATCAATCAATAGATATCAATATTGTTCAGGACAATTCTTAAAAAAAAATTGAATATTAAATTGAAATAACATATTGGAAATTGTTATTGTTCATTTTTATGTAATGTTTAGGAACTGCTGCAGTGTAGTGATAAAACATCAAATATACGTACAAAGTTTATTACTAATATTAAATAAAACATTAACATCTTAAGGGATCAAGAAATGTTCTAATTATCACCTGACATAATTGTGCTATACGAATAGGCCAGTTTAAATCGCTAAAAAATGTAATGCATTGTAGAAAAAATCATGAAAAGGCTGCTACTTACAGAGATGGCAGCGTCCAGTGTGATTGGACCGAACGGTCCAATATTGATACTTAAAGGCCTTTGACATCTCATTAGCATGAATTGCATAATGATTTTTGTTTGCGGTGTTTGTTCATACCATCGACTTTCATAAAGAGCCGTTGCTAACTTGGAACTCTGCAGTACAAGATGTGACCAGTTATTGCTAAATAAATTTTGCATATCATGATTACCTCCGTCCTAATTTGGTTAGCATTCCAGGCGAGAAGCATCAAAAAGCTAATCATCGAAATAGAGAATTCAATATTAAAAAGAAGATCCTGCCTCTGAAAATATGATAAAACTACTCATAATTTTGTCTAACGAATAACAAATATCGAAATACAAGTACCGCTAAAATTTGCAATATTCCCGACGCAAACATCAGTGATGACATACTGAATTCGAAGAAAATAATACTTCTCAGCACCTCATTGACAGAATTTATTAATCTAAAATAGTTTGAAAATTAGCAAATGCAAAATAATCACCATGTAAATATGCCAAATTAAATGGACTTTTATTAGCCAATTTTATGCACAATGCAAAAGAAGATTACCAATCTCACCGCCCATATTTATTTCAGTTGACAAAATTACTTCCAAATTATTGGTGTTCGTCTTGTGTTATGTTATAAACGTATTCTTGGGTAGGATATATTCAAGGTTAAAAGTAAAGTAGGTAGTTAGTAACTAAATATTATATTCATGCATTGGTAAAACCCAGTTTTAATGGACTAGTTATTATTTTATGCAGTAAAAGAGAGGAAAGAGAAATTTTGTTGAGTTGACAGAGAAGCGTTTTTGGAAGGCGGTAGTATATTTGATCTAGAGTGAAACCAAAGCTTAATGGTTTCAAGCAAGAAAAAATAAATATTAGATAATTCCTAATTTAACATCTCGCTGAATATTTTCTTTCCAAATCTAGTTTTTGTAAATTGTAAAAATATAATATTTTTATGCACCCTATGGAAAATATTTCTCAGTTCTTAAAGATGGCTGCATTCGTTAATAAAGGCATAGGAGGGTTTGTTTTTTTCTTCTTCTAGTGCTTTATCATCTGCTGACGTTTGCGACTATATTGGCCAATCTAACTTTGTCTACTACCGCACTGAACAACTCGACAGATGTTTTCCCTGTTCATTGCCCAAGGTTGGGTAATCATGAAATTCTGCGCCTAGTAGGACCTGTTTTGCCCTGTGTTATAAGTCTTTTTCTTCTTTTATTCATTCTTTGCAAGATGGTGTCGTTAGTTACATAATGTGTCCCTGAAACGTGCGTCATTCTACGATCTCAATTACTCTCTTCTACTAAATGTTTCTAGTTTTTCGAGCTTAATGTTTTTCACTTGCAGATTAGCTTTGTTGTTTGGATTTTTTGCTAGTGATCATAATCTTGTTTTTTTTTTTTGTTTAAGCTCATGGCATATTATTTTTCAGTTTTAACCAATCTGAGAAATAGAAACGACCTTCGAAAATCACATTCATTTATAAAGAATTTAATTGTATAAAATAAATATAAAGCTATAGAGACATTTTTCAATAGCAAAATAATGAATTTTAATCCCGATTAACATAAGTTTTTGTTCAATTCATTGTAGTATATTTACGATTCTGTTGATTAATTTCTGTAATCATTCTACGTTATTAGATATTAGGACTGTATCATCCACATATCTGAATTTATTTAGCCTCTCTCCGTTAACCAGTATTCCATCTTTACATTCAGTCAAAGTATCATTGAAGAGATGCTCCGAGTAGGCATTAAATAATAAAGGTGATTAAACGCATCCTTGACGGACACCTTTTTTATACTTATTTTGGTAGATGCTGACTCTGCTAGTCGAATTGTGGCTTTTTGTTGACTATATAGGTTGGCATCTTTTATTCCGGATGGATGTAATATTTCAAGGAGCTTTTTATGTGGGACTTTGTCAAACGCCTTTTCAAAATCAGTGAAGCAACGAAACACGTCTCAGTTAAGGTCTTGAGCTCTTTGGATCAAAACTTGAATACCAAATAATGCTTCTCTGGTTCCTATGAAATGTCTAAGGGTGTAGGGTTAGAACATGATTCATCAAGCTAATCGTGCGATGTTCTGCGTATTTTTTGGCGTTGCTGGACTTAGGGATTTGGATGAAGGTTGATAAAAGCCATTCTCTTGGCATGTTGCCTGTTTGATATATTTTATTGAACTTTGTTAGGATATCTATGTGGCCTTTTTTCAGTTCTTTAAGAAGTCCTATCTGATTTCATCAGAGCCTTGTGCTTTATTGGTTTTTAGTCTTTTGATTGTTTGTTTCTTCCTTAGTAATATTAATAACCTCTTTTACTTCTATGTATTCTGGATCCTGATAATTTTCTTCATGAAACAGTTCAGTCATATATTCGCAATGTCATATGATCGCAATGTAATCAACCTGCTTTCTTATTATATTGTTATTGTTGTCAGCGGGAGACTTCCAGGTGTATAATCGTCTAAGTGGGAGTTTAAAGAATGTATTCATTAAGGCAAGAGTGTGTTTTTCGCAAAACTCGACTAACATTGCGGGTGCGAAGTCCGTATTTTCCCACCACTCTATCTTCCTCTCCATTTCCAACTTTGGCATTGAAATCTAGAAGGAGTAAAGTTATATCTTATTTCTTAATTTATTGCTGGATGTCTTCTTCATTGCTACCAGCTGTTGAAGCGTAGGTCTGAATAATATTGATATTGGTTGTTTTTTATTGATTATGATAGCTACTTCGTTATAGTATTGAGGATTATCATTTCCTGAGTAGTAAATGCGATGGTCTATAACTGTACACTCCCCGCTTCCTGGCCATCTCAGTTGACTGCAGTCTAGAATGTCTATTTTCAGGCGCTTAATCTCTTTGACCACGTGGTCAGGTTTGTTATTCACGGTCCGCGAGCCAGTTTGGTCATGCGTTTAAAGATGATTTCCATAGATTTTAATTCAGTTAATGCGTTGGTGCTGTACATATCCTCTGTGAGACTTGTCTTTTGCATAGCTTAATCAATTCCTGCCTTCCAGCTTTTCCGTGGACTGCCTCTTTTCCTTCTTTGTGCTGGCCTCCACTCATAAATTTTTTTGGGTATTCTGTCCTCGCTCATTCGACTGATATGTCCAATTTTCTACATTCATTCTGTTCAAAATTTCGTCATTTTTGATTTTGTTCATTAATGTGGTTTTACGGCACCTTCTCCAATACATCATTTCTGTAGAAGCTACCTTTTCTTTCATAGCCTTTGACATTTTCCAAACCCCTGACCCATATGTGAACAAAGGAATTAAACATTTTGCTATTAGTTTTTTGGGATAGGGATAACGTAATTGACGTATGCCATTTTTCCTTTATTAATTTTGTTTTGTACTTCTACTTCGTCTCTTCCGTCCGATGTTTTAGTAACTTATACTGATTTGTATATTTAATAGTTCCCAACAAAATATTTTTTATAAAATAGAAAAATCAACAAAAGCGGCAAGAATATTTTTCTGGTTTTAACCAATCTGAGAAATAGAAACCTTCGATAATTGTATAAAATAATTATAAAACAAGTAGAGATCTTTCTCAATAGCGAAATAATTAATTTTAATCACGAGTAACTTAATTTTTTGTTTAATTCATTGTAATATCCACAATTTAAAGAAAAGGGTCTGTATTTTTTTGATATCTAAATACAAATTTTTTGAGTTGGGCATAGTCATATACATCCAGGAGTAGCGATACTTACTCAATTAGTCTTTGATGTTTTACGCATAACCTTCGTACTGTATCTACTCCATTCGTCATAATGTCGCGATTAATGTAGCTCGTACCAAAATTTCGAAACTGGTGCTCCATTATTTTAAGCTTTGCTCTTAGGAAAATAAGTATTGTCGTAGTAAATATTTGTACTACGGCTACATAAAAGGCTGTCACAGCGATGTCAAGAAGTTGACTCATGAGAGTCAAAATGTGGTACCTATTTTTGTCCCAGGGATACCATAATTTAAGCGGCAAAGGGCTCTCCAGTGATACGTTTACTCGCTTTCCCAGTTTGTGAACTTTGTAACTATTTTCGCATCCTGAAATAATTATAGGTTTAATTGCTTCAAATGGAAAAATATATTTTTTATGCAATATACATTTTACCACAAATTTACAACTTAATACAGATATCGAATGTTTTTGGTATTTTGCAAATGTAGATTCCAGAATTTTGAGTTTCCAAGTTTTTCGAGTTTTCATCCTTTTGAACCCTAAATCTTGAAAACAATATGTATTGATCGTTGAAAATTTCAAATGTGCAAAAATACTATAATAATAATAACTAATTTTTATTAAATGTAACTGGAGCAACAATGTTGCTTACCCGTTTCTATTAGAAACGATGCCGCCAAACCTCCAGCTAATAAAAAAAACTTGGAAAGTTTTTTACTGTATATAATGTGTTTTGTGTATATTTTATTGGCTTCCTGGTCATTTCCTGATAAAAGCATAGCTTCGTCTTCCATAAACATCGTTTGTAGCTTCAAAAAATCTTTGGACTGGCACATAATTCCTTTCATGTTTGCCATGGTGCCAAATAAAATCATCGAGATCGCCTGAAATGCTAGTATAAAGGTTGACGCGTACGTTTTCGAAAAATTTTGGGGTTATAATTAGAATAATATGTTTTTACCTCCGGAAACGTCAGTCTTGAAAAGAACAGGTAAATTAGCAGCCAGAAGCGTCGGAATCATCATGTTAGTTATTTGAAATATAACTGAATAAATAAAATACAATATATTTTGAAATGTAGACCAGCTTTTTATTTTCAGCCTCCAAATACCACAAATTATCATTGTTTTTTTTGTGAACTGAAACATACTTGTTCATATATTTTCGCGCCATAGAGTCAACACCTCTATGTAGTCGGTATCTTATAGGTGGAATAATGACATGCAAATGTGTGACAGCAAAATATTATATTAATATTCGCTAGTCAGTGGCGTTAACAGTTTGATCATTTAATTTTTTTCTGAAGTAATCTATTGTGTTAAATATCTCAAAAGAATTACAAAGTATTTTAAACAATTATTTGCAGTATTCAATTATGCCCCAATTAATCATAATTAACCAAACTATGTAGAGAAATAGGTATTGAAATGTCTGAATCGGACACCAAAAGGAGATCATTTCATTGGTTTTAGCAGCTTGTGGGGATCGTGCATGTTCATTTTACGGAATTCCACACTCACAGAGAATAAGGAGCTTGCAATTAGAGGAGCCAAATAATCGGTATGTGAACCCCATGTTAGCAAAAACAAATCGGCATGGCGGCCCGCACGCCACTGGTTCCTTTGATGTTACTCTAATTTATAAGTCTGCATATCGAACATATACTTATCTACATGAAAAGAAACTGCGACTGTATTTTATTGGTTTGTGTTTCGCAGTGAAATGAATTGTTTAAAATATGTCTTTATTTATTTGTTCGGCTATAAGAGATATAGGGAGAGTTTTAGATTGAAATGTACTTTCAACGATTTCAGAATAGCGTAAGTTTTAAGAGGTGTGTTATTGTTAAAAGAAAATTTAAACCTCTACTTTAATTAATGAATCAGTTCGTCTAGGTTGGTTCCGTTTCTTTATAATTTTTTGCACTTTGATTCAATTATACGCTGGTTTATTTTTGTTTAAATTTTTTTTTTCATTAAAATAGTGGAGCGTTAATTATTAACAACTTCTTTAATTATAGGGTATATTATACAAATCACAAGATAAATTTGATTATATCATCACAATTTTTAATTAACCAAAATTTTTAATTTTTCAAGAAAAAATAGTCAATTGAAAAGCTCAATAGTTTTCATTTATTAAATATAATACCAAATGAAAGATGGTAATATAATTTGTCCAAATATCTAGTCTTGTAGAACCAACATTATGCAGTGCAATAAACTCGAGGTTGTTTTCATATTAAGGTAACTGGTAACTGTAAATTGCTTTTCAATAACCTAGAGTGCATGAATATGGCAATCACAAGGTTTAACTATTTTTTACCCTTTCTGTCTCTTCTACAAAAAATAAATGTACTAAATCGAATTGCTATTTCGCCATATAAAATATGAAGTAAATTTGTTGTTAATTCGACAATAGAAATGCATTTTCCGTTTGTCATAGTAATAATTTCACTTCAAGATGGCTAACCAAACACTGATTTTAAGAACGCCCATATTAATAGTTTCTTTTGATAATATTTGAAAGTAATCAAATTATGAAATAAATATTGTTCGATATACATCTTGCCTGTAATGAACTCTGAGAATCGTTTGGTTTTTAGCTACTCATACTTAAAGTTGTTGGTATTAATATTAGTCAATAGAGCCAAGTTGCTCTTCGAAATTTCTTGTCGAATATGAAATGAAAATAAAATAGAAGAAAAATCCTTTATTGTCCATGGTTATGCAATTTTTAATAATTGATGAAGTGTATGCTTATCTGCAGTGGCGATAAGACAACAAGTATAGAATCAGAGTTTGTTACTAATATTAAAGAAAACAATAACACTTTTAGAAAATAAAAAAAATGTCTTCTAGTTATCGCCTGACATAATTGTACTATACGAATAGGCCAGTCTAATTCGCTAAAAAATACGCATGTTGAAAAAAAATCACAGCATGGCAGCTACTTACAGACATGGCGGCATCTACTGTTATTGGACCTAGTGGGCCAATATTTATGCTTAAAGGTTTCTGACATCTCATCAGCATGAATTGCATAATGACTTTTGTTTGGTGAGTTTGTTCATACCATCTACTCTCATAAAGTGCCATTGCTAACTGGGAACTCTACAGTATGAGATGTGGAGAGCTAAGTAAATTTTGCATAACATAAATACCTCCGTCCTAATTTCGTTGGCATTCCAAGCGAGAAGCATCAAAAAACTGATCATCGAAACGGAAAATTCAATATTAAAAAGCAGATCCTGCTTCTAAAAATATATCAGAATTATTTATAATATTTTCTAACGAATACCAAATATCGAAATACTAATACCGCTATAACTTGGAAAATTCCTGCTGCAAACATCACTGATGACATACTAAATTCGAAGAAGATAATATTTCTCATCACGTCATTAACAGATTTTATTATTCTAGAAAATTTGAGGAATTATTGTGTTATTATTTTTAAATATAATGGTGTAAATATTGTTCTAAATAAATAAGAACCAAAAGTTCAGATTTTCACGAAATTATATATTATGACATGACAATTGTAATATTTACAAACTACCTGCTACTATATATACCGAAAAATGACCATAAAACCTTAATTAATCTTGTTGCGAGAATTTAAGTTGATTTAATTGATCGTTAAGCAATACATTTGAATGTCTCATTTTGTTAATCTCCATGGCTTCCAATAAATGTAATTTTCTACTTTTTGTGGCTGTGTGTAATATATCAAAATTGTCGTCAAAAATGTGTTTTTCTGTGTTTAAGTGTGTAGCATAATTAGAATCTAGACTATTGTTTTTAAACGCTCTTGTATGTTCGTTAATGCGTTTCTTGAAGGATCTACCTGTTTGTCCAATATAAATTTTAGAACAAGATCCACACTTCAACCTGTAGACACCTGATTTTTAGGATTTTGGACATTTCGATTTATTGTTTTTTAAATATTTTCCTATTTTGTTGTTAGTTCTGAAAGCTATTTTTAAACCACATTTTGACAAATGTTTTGAGACATACATACATAGGAGAACCTAGCGAAAAAGTTTCAAAACATTTGTCAAAATGTGGTTTAAAAATGGCTTTGAAAACTAACAACACAATAGGAAAATATTTAAAAAACAATAAATCGAAATGTCCAAAATCCCAAAAATCAGGTGTCTACAGGTTGAAATGTGGATCTTGTCCTAAAATTTATATTGGACAAACAGGTAGATCCTTCAAGAAACACATTAACGAACATATAAGAGCGTTTAAAAACAATAGTCCATTTTTGACGACAATTTTGATAATTTACACACAGCCACAAAAAGTAGAAAATTAAATTTATTGGAATCCATGGAGATTAACAAAATGAGACATTCAAATGTATTGCTTAACGATCAATTAGATTTAAATACCTCTCCTTTATTGAACTTATATTCTCGCAACAACATTAATTAAGGTTTTATGGTCATTTATCGGTATATATAGTAGCAGGGAGTTTGTAAATATTACATTTGATAAAGACACTGTGTTGTCGAAACAATTGTCATGTCATAATATATAATTTCGTGAAAATCTGAACTTTTACTTCTTATTTATTTCGATAAATGGATTTGCATCAAGTAAAAGCCACCTCAGTTCAATATTGTTCTAAACTAACTAGACTAGCTTTTTTTTCTAAAGTAAAAACAAAGCTTTGTACATGTGTATGTTAAAATCTAAACTGACATTGCCATTTAATATTATATTTTTTTCATTCTAAAATCACTGGCATATTAACCGAGCACATATTAAATGTCTACTTCTCTGTTTTTTTAATTTGTATAAAATAAATTGTAATATTAGTATATAGTAATAATATTTTTAGTTTGGGCCATTTCATTTTATTGTAATACACAAATTAAAAAGTATTATTTTATTGCTTAAATTTGTTTTATATTTTTTTAAATTCCGATCATTCTGTTTGTTCTGTTTTGTATTTTTTATTTGACATGCACAATTATTTATGTACTACGTAGTACATGGAACACGTCTATTATTATTTTCATAACAATTGTAGAAAACAATAATATACATACAATTAAGCAACTTCCGATGTGACCTATATGGACTGGTTCCTAAGATAAGTACATATTTAAATTTGAAGCATACTGCCGTTTTTGCATCGTCTGTTGTGCAACTGCACTTTGATAATTTTATTAGTTTGTATGAGTTCAGTATCTAACTTTTTGCATTCCTAGTACGAACAGGACGTAATAAATATACTCACTGAATTAATGTTTGGTGTTTGAAGCATAATTTTTGAATAGTTTCCACTTCGTCAAAATGGTTCAAATGTAAACCAAAATTTCTAAATTGGTGCTGCAATATTTTAAGCTTTGCCCTTAAGAACGTTAGCAGCGTTGTAGTAAATATTTGTGCCACCGCTACATAAAAGGCTGATACAGCTATCTCAACGAACTGGCTCAACATCAAAAAGATGTGGTATTTATTTTTGTCCCAAGGATACCATAATTTAAGCGGTAAAGGTTTCTCTAATGACACGTTCGTGTGTTTTTGCATTTTGTGAACTTTGTAGCTATCTAAGCAACCTAAAATAATTCATAATTGGAGTTAGAATAAAACCGACTTTTTTAAAATTTCTTATTTAACAATATTATAAACACATCAGCCGAAGCTTTTTTTTAATGCTTAGATTTAAAAAACCGAACATAGCGCCTAGAAGAAAAAAAAAGATTGTGAAAAATAGCCGTTAGTTTGAAATGAGGCTCTTTGTAATTGCACTTTCCTATAAGAACATCTAACTAGTTTTCTATCTATTGTTCTATTATAGTTCCTGAGATCTCAATACATGATAATAGATAGTCGACTTAGTTGATTTTGGGAGCAATGATTTTCTCCTACTTAAACATTTTCCATTGTTTTGTTTTAAAACCAGTAATAAACATAGAGTTATTTTATTCTTGTGAAATATCATATTGTGTTCTCCTAATCTTTGCTTACCCATTTCGAACAGAACTGATGCTGCCAAAGCACCTGCTAGTAGAAAGAACTTCGAAAGTTTCTTACTGTAATGAACATGTGTTGTGTATATTTTATGCACATCTTCATCTTTTCCTTCTAGAAGTATCGTTTCATGTTCCAACACAATTTTCTGTAGCTTCAAAAAACATTTCGACTGACACATAATTCCTTTCAAGTTTGCTAGGATGCAAAATAGAATCATAGAGAGTGCCTGAAATGCTAATCACGATTGTTTAGTGTAATTATTTCAAATTTATAACTAATAGTTAGGACAATATAAATTTTACCTCCAGATATGTCTTCTTTAAAAAGAACGGGTAAATTAGCAGTCAGAAGTATCGGAATAATCATGTTAATTGTTTGAATAATAACGGAATGTATGGAATATAATATTTTTTGAAATCTGGATAAGCTTTTCATTTCCAGCCTCCAAACTCCACAAATTATCATTGTTTTTTTCGCGAATTCGATCATCATTTGTAAATTCTAGTAGTGCTAATATTTCTATTGCGTGTTCTTATACGTGAAGTGCAGATATGCGACTGCGAATATTTTATATATTTATATCCATTAGACAGTGGCGTTTACCATTAGGTAAATTCGCACTCGTTTGTTATCATTTTGAACAATATATATTTGTAACATTTACATACATTTTTGAAGCTTTCCAGTGAAGTAAGGGAAGTCCTTGACTTAACTACCCTGGTAATTTTTATACCGTGGTTTGAAACGCATGAATTGCACAAACAACTTCGCATTTATGAAATTGGAGGCGCGTACACCACTGGTTCCTTTGAAGTTTCTTTAATTTGTAAGTCGGTTTATCAAACGTATACTTACCCAACATGAAAAGAAAATGTTCCCACCCAATTATTTTCTTGGTTTGTCTTTCCCAGTGAAATAAATTATTTAAAACCGATCTTTATTTATTTGTTCGGTTTCGGTAAACGAGTGTTGCCTTTGTTGTCTTAGGGATGTTTAGAAAAGTTTTGTTTCATCTGGGAAGTGACCTTAAGCCTATTCTTAATGAAGAAAACAGGAAATTCACTGTGTTTGTAAGCATTCACCTAAATTATGCATACCTAAATTAGTGAATTAATTTTTAAGGATTAATTCCGTTCACTCGAAAATGTGTATAGTTGGTAATGCTAAGATTGGCTCTAAATAGTTACTAAATGTCTCGTAGTCTACATTAATTAAATCATATTTCCAAAATGATATTCGTTTTACTACATGGTATAAGCTTTCAAATAAGTTGAATTTTCCAAATTGCTAGTTTTCATCGGAACCGAGAATATCGTACAGTCTGCCTGTATCTTCATCGCGTTGGCTTTGATTAGTTTTGGTTAGTCGATCCTCCCCAATAAAACTTTAAGGATGTTATTACCTATTGCTATTAACAAAAAAATTATTCTTACTTGAGTGACAAGGCAGGGGTAAGGTATGTTTCTTTCTTTCTGATATATTTCTTGAGTGTTGACTATTTGTGACAGTGTTGAATAATCGTTTTTACAGTGCGTTTCGAAAAAGTTGTTTTACGAGAATACAGCAATGTCGCGTCGAAATTGTTTGTCATTTGATGCAAAACAGGTTGTGAAAAATCTGTATGGGACTTTGATCAGTAGAGGACTTATTAAACATGAAGCGTTAAAAGAAACCTGTAACTCACAAAAACGCCAATATCATCGATAAGGGATATTATTAATAGTGAAGAATTGAAGAGAAGGAATAAACGTAGTGATTTTCAAGCTCACCTTATAGACAATAGTGATCAGGACCTAATAAGAAGGAAAATATATTGTCTCTATCAAAGCGAATTTGGTTCCTACCTTGGATAAACTGGAAAAGAAGCTAGAAAAAGATGAAACCAATTTAAGTATAAGCCGTGCCACCCTCCATTGAGTTTCTTGTAAAATGGGATTTAAGTAGCGCAAAATAGACAAAAGCAAGTAGTAATGGAATCACACAGGTTACGCACTTTATTAATTCAAGAAATTAAAAGATATAGATTAGACAACAAAACTCGAAAGGACCTTCAAATAAAGGATAACGCATCACGCTGGGTGAGAAGACTGAGTTGTCCCAAACTGCTTGTTGTTGTATTGTATATTTGTTAGAAAATGATATTTACTTTTGAATTCAGTAATAAAAAAGCACAACCTTTGGAAGTCCTAAATTCATAGGCAATTAAAAAACAGTATGTTTGCGATAATTTGGCTGAACAGGCTGGGCATACTGTTTTACCTCTTCCTCCATATCATCGCATGTTTAACCTCATAGAGCATTTGTGGAACCAAGTCAAATAAAACGTCAGAGCAGAAAATTTTACTCATACTTTAAATCCCAGTGTTATAAGTTTGATAAAAAAAATAACTATACCAATTGACAGCTCGAAAAATTTAGTGCAGGTACACAATAAAAGAATTGAAGACTCTTAGATTTAGATACAAAACAACATAAATCCTGTTGTAATGAATTATAATGACGATTCTGATAGTGAATCAGAATTAGATTTAGGCATGTAGAATAAAAATGTAATTATGTATAGATATTCCTAGATATGAATTTATTTTATATATTTAATTTAATTGTTTTTTCTTAGTGTAATTTAATAAGATTATACTCACCTAAATAAACAAAAAAAATATATTATTAACAAAACCTTTGAGAGTTCGTCTGTTATGTTCTATCTTGTAATACCTACCGGACCCGAGTTTTATTGCCGTCGGCAAGTAACTTGCATAATTGCGGGCAAAAGCCACGATGAAGATTGAGACACAGTATATCACAAATTAAATTTTTCGATACATAAATTTTTGAAGTATGACAATAAAAATTTAATGAATCGCACAATCAATATATAAATGTAAATACTTAAGGATAATGCATTTTCATTTTAGGAAACGCACAAAATATGAAGTGTGCAAATTTCATGCAATCGATAAAGTGAATCCTGATGTTCGCTAAAGAATAAAAATGAAAATTACACTTTAGAAAATCTCACCTCCAGAACGTATGATCGCCTATTTCTCCTTTTCATTGTGTCGAATGGATTGATAATGTGGCGAAGCATCCTCAAAATTGTTATTTTTCCTAGGAAATGTACAATACAATAAAATACAAAACAATACAGACCAAATGTAAACTATTGATTGATTTAAGGCATGCATTATTGAGACTACGGATTAAACAAAATCAAAAATCGGTATTATTGCAAACTTTAATAAGTTGTACATTGTACATTTATTCACCAATCGATCGGCACCTCTGTTTAAACATTAAATTTAATTTTTATTTAAAAGTAGAGAAAATTGGAATAGACTGATAACTTGGTTATTTTTGGTTTAAGAAAAAAAATCAGAATAACCTATATATAATAACTTTATTTATATAAGTGCTTAATAAGTAGCGTCAACAATAAAGAAGTTAGCAATGCGCCGATGTTCATGCGTAATATGCGTATGGTATTAAGGGAAAACAGCACCCTTATTTCGTATTTAGAGGTAAATTAGGTCCAGAGATTGCTAACACCGACATATTAATACTAAATTGATATTATTAACTGGTTTTTATCTAAGAGCCGTTTTTTAAAATCTACTGAAAAAATATCATCGTTCACAAATTCTTGGCCGAAGGCCGAAAACATTTGAAATAGCTCGCCACTGTGCTACCTACGAAGTTGACGTTTTAAAGTGACTGAAATTTTTATGTTTTAATTAATTTCTGACAAATTGTTGAGCTTGTTTGTCAAGTTTATACCGGAAAATGCAATGATAATATTTACATGAAGTTTTGCATTTCATTATTAACGTATTAATTGCATTGCTTGGATAAACAATTCACATTATTTTAACATATTGCTCAGGTGCAGGTGGAATTTTAAGAACCCGAATGATCAATGTTTGTCACGAATTAATACTTCGTCTCTTATAACAGCAGGCAATTTTTAAAAAATTGTATTTGTTAGTCTTTAAATAAAAAGTTAAACGCATTTAAGTTTATATTAAATACTAATGAATTAACAGAGTTTAACACTTAAATTGTTTAATAGTCTCGATTTCAGTTTTTTAGAGCAATTCGTGTGTGCCGTCGGAGTAGCAGCTGTGTGCAATTTGTATTTTAGATAGCTCCCATAAAAATAAGCTCAATGGTGTTAAATCGAGCGACAGGCAATTTAGAAACATATCCGCGATCAATCCACGGATAAACTTACTCGAAATATTTGAGAATACCTATATTTACAATAAACGATCGACTGAAATGTCTGGTGGTAAGAAAGAAATGCTTTAACTCGAGTTACTAAAACTTCGAGTATTAGTGTAGGAAATTCAAAGTATTAAACTTCCTAAAACCATGTTTATGCGTGCAAATGGTTGGCCCAAAATCTATTTTCGAAGTCGTTTTTTGACTTATTTCACATTCATGTTTTTCACTTTCTTGACATCTCTATTTTTGCCGACACAGAAGGCCAGTCCAGAGCATTCGTAATCATTAAAATGTAACCTGTAGACCCGTTGCTTACTGCAAGCCAAAAAAGGAGAATACGATTTCATTATATATAAACTAGTCCAGTGGTTAAAATCATCGCAATCGTATTAGGAAATTTAACGTGTTTAGAAAGTCTTCATTTTGTGTCAAGAATTACACCTTAATTTACAAACTCGATCCATTGATATTGTGACCAGGGACTAGAATGGGCAGGGCCCAACCCAGTATGTATTCTCAATCACAATCAGATGTTTGCATTGTCTGCTATGCGAGAGAAAGACTGGAATATTCAATGCCCATCGCGATAATGCACTGCGCTTTATTAAAGCGATGTATAGTGCCACAGTCAGTCACTCAGTAAAGCGAAAATATAAATAATTAACTGATGTAATCTTTATATACATTATTGGTAGTGTTTTAAAGTGATTTTAACTGTCACTGACATCACAATATAAATGGTGCCTTCTAAGATCCTCCTGTATTCCTTACCTCTAAAAGAATTTGATTTCTCAAGAGGGTTGAATTCAATAGTTTATTTTGCAATAAGTGTGGTAATCGGCATTTTTGTTACGAGTTTCTTTGGCACGAGCGGAGCGAGTGCTTAATATACGACTTAAAAATTTTAAAAAACGTGTTGCTGACATGACCGTCACTATTTACAAACGTCAAAATTCAAGCCGTGTGGTAAAATTTCCGAAAACATCCGATTGCTCCTAAACCCGTGCGGTATTATTCCGGAAATGTCCGTAGTTGCTCGCAGCCGTAGGAAAGGAAACTGTCGTGATAAAATGACACCGCACGCTAGTCCGGTGTATAATTGGGTATTTTGCAGAAGGCAGTAAAAAATAGTATATTATGCAACAAGTGTGGTAAACGGCATTTGAGTCACGAGTTTATTTGGCACGAGCGGAGCGAACACGTATACATTCGCTGATGGAATTGTGACGTGACTTGAGAACTAGTAAACTTCAAAATACCATCCATG